GCAGCCGGGACCCGGGGGTCCGGAGGATGCTTGCCGCGGTCCCCAGCCGCAGGGATGCAGGGTTGCTAGGAGGCAGGTGAAGGTGAAGAGGAGAGCGCTGCGGAGGACCGCAGGCCCAGGTACCGCCGCAGCAGTGGGGACAAGGGGACAGCTCAGGGGAAGACCGGAGCTGGCGAGTGGGCGACCGAGCTCGGAGCCCCCGGGAAAGGAAATGGGAAAGCCCAGGGGAGCCGGGGCAGAGGGAGTGAGCTGAGTTCTGCGGGTGGATGATGCGGGAGCTGCCGGCAAAAAAAACCTGCAGTGCCGGCTGCCGCGGCTCCCTGCCTGCCCTGCCTTTGCCTTTTCCTTCTTTGCATTTGCCGGCAGAGGCCCTTGGCTGTGAGTAGTGAGGGATACGGGGGGAGTGGGTCGGCACGGCATGGGGAGGATGCTCATCCTCCTGCAAGGGCGAGTGGGGCGATGCTGCCCGCCACAGATCCTGGGGGAGGCCGGGGGACCGGTGCCCTTGGGAAACTGCCTGGAAGGGACGGGGGAGAACTGCAGCCCAGGGCCGGGGATGCTGCTGCTGGCGCCGCTGCTGCCCTTGGGATGCCTCTTGCCAGGTGCGTGTGGGGCAGTGGTGTCCTTGGGAGACTACGCTGAGCCACCTCCAGCTTGCCCTCTCCTCCGTGGGACCCCCCCAGCATGACGGACCTTGCGGGGCAAGAGATGAGCCCCTGGCAGCCCACCTCGAGCCAGGAGCTGTCTCTAGCCCAAGGAGGATGAGAGAAGAGGGGGAGGATGGGCACAGGGAGCCTGGCATGGGGCGAGCACCGGGGTCTCTGATCCTCCTTCCCCCCTCTCCTAGATCCGCATGTCCGACCAGAACAGCACCGACGATGGGGAGTCAGACCCCCAGCACAGCCTGTCTATGGTATTTCTCCTCGTCCTCGTCTTCTTCATCATGGGGCTGGTGGGTTTCCTGATCTGCCACGTCCTGAAGAAGAAGGGTTACCGGTGCCGGACTTTCCGGGATGAGCTCGACCCAGATAACAAAGATGTGCTGGCAGAGCTCCAGGCCAGTGAGTGCCAGGGCAATGAGGGCTCAGCAGGGGCTTGGGCACTGACTTTCATCCAGTGTGGACCGATGCTCCTTAAACACGCTTCTGGGATGTGAGACGGGGGTGGGAGGGGTACCTATCATGTGCTGCTGGGTTGGGAAAAAGGGATGGGGTGGTGAGAGCAGCATGGTGTTCCCTGGGGATGGGGAGTGTGTGGCCTGGGGACCCTCCCTGGCTCCACAGGCTGCTGGACCCAGGGAGGTAGGAACCAGCATCTGGCCCTTCCCAAAGTGGTGTTATCACCAAAACATAATTCTGCTGTAAAGCCCCAGCAGCTGAATTATAACCCATGTCCCCTACAAGGAAAGCATCCTCCAGCCAGGGCACGAGCTATCCCTCTGCCCCTTTGGTGTCAGGAGGCCCAGTATGGGTCCAGCATGATGTCTGCTACAGGTCATGTCCTCTTCTAGTCCCTGTTGCACTCATGCAGCCCAGAGGAATAGGGGTGTTCCCTTGGGATATCTGCCCTGCACTGGAAGGGGACATTTAGGGATTTTTTCCGTTGCTTCAGGCCACTGTAACCAGCTCTCAGGTAGCAGGACTGGGAAGTCAGTGCAGCGTCGAGCGTGGGTGCAAATCAGAGCTCAGTCCAAGCAAACTGTCATTTGGTGGTTTCATGAGGTTCAGCTGAAATGGAGAAGACTTGTTCCTCCAGCTGCTTCCTTACCTGCAAATGGCCAAATGGTGCTACGTAACTCCTCCGGCTCCTCTGTGCCACCCTGTGCACGGGAGGGAACCATGGCTCCACCAGCTCCCCGTGGATGCAGTGGGACCTTCCAGGCGGCCTTGGACATGCTCCTCTGGCTTCAGTGACTTGGCTGCACATGACACAGAGACAGTGCCTCAACCTTCCAGGACTGGCTTTGCCTGCTGGAGTTGCCACAGCCCAGGGAAACATCTCTGTGGGCTTCCAGGAGCACAGTGGCAGCCCCTGACCAGGCTCTTTGAGGCAGCTGCCTACCAGACCACAACTTGGACCTGCTCACAGGAACATACAACACCTCAGGCTGGGCTGAAGGTCCAGCCAGCCAAGCCTCCTGCATCCACCAGCGGCCAGAAGCAGTTGTGCTGAATGCTGGGGATGAACACAACAGAGCAGATATCGAGCCAAGCTGCCCCAGCATACTCTTTTAAGCTTTTAACTGTGTAGCTCTGGGGCTTTCTCCATCAGAGATGGTTTCTCTGTATTTCACAGTCCCCAACAGGTTTCTTTTCTGTGAACTTGTCCCATTTTCACTTGGAGACTTCGGGCACCCGCTGTGTGCCAGTGCTCCTCACCAGGACCCTCTTTCAACTTGCTTCGAACCTGCTTCGCACTTACTTCACTTGAAGGTCCCCAGTTCTGAAGGAGCAACACACCCCCCCTCTCCCTGCACACGTGGCTGCTGGGGTTTAGCCATTTCTTTTCCACGGTGAGGTATCTGGTGTTCTCCAGGGGCTTCCCAGTGTGATGGGGGACACAGGGCTTCTCCGACCTCCCTGTCCACGTGGCTGCTCCTGGGGAGGAGTGTCCTGAGTGTCCAAATCCCAGCCCTCAGTGCCATGTTTTGTCTTTTCAGATGAAGAGGAGGAGCTGAATGAGGACACCGTGGAGAAGATTGTGAGATGCATCATCCAAAATGAAGGTGAGCATTTCCTAGGGCTGTTCTGGAGGTGTCCTGACTGCTTTGGCTGACGCATTCCCTTTTTCCTCTCTCTTCAGCAAATGCAGAGGCCCTCAAGGAGATGCTGGGGGACAATGACGGGGACATCCCAGTGCCTGTGCCCAGGTGAGGGAAGCCTATACCAGCTTATGGCTCCTGCAGAGTAAGGGAGAGGCAGCCTTTGGGTATCACTTTGGTCTGGAGATATTGCAGCCTTCCCCTTTCCAACTTATTATAAAGCATCTTCCCAACAAGAAGTCCTGCTCCTCCAAGGGCTGCGATGCATGCTTCACCCCGCTGCCAAGGGGAATAGCTCTTCCTCACTCCTGTCCTCGCAGGAGGTCTCCTCTAGAGCTGCTGCTTCTCACTTTTTTTTTGCAGTGAGGCTGCACCAGGGTTCAGAAGTCTCCAGATAACATGACCTGTCATGTCCTTCTCCTCTTGCAGCCTTTGTCCCCACCGTAACAGCCAGGATGGGGGCCCGCCACATCACCACACGGTGCATCTGGGCTCCACACAGGCCCCCTGCATCCACTGCAGCAAGAGGAAGAGGCACCCGCTGCATCGACAAGGACGGTCCAAGGAGGGAAAAGGCAGGATGCATCCTGGAGAGACCACTGTCTTCTCAGTGGGCAGGTACTTCAATGAGCCTTGCCAGCCATGGCCCATCTGCTCTGATGGAGCAAGCATCCCAGAGAATCTTCTCAGTTCCCCTTTTCCTTTCCCTTTCCCCGCTTGCCCCACGCCAGGCACCCTCTTGCTCTTCCCTATTTAGATGTCCCAGTAGCAGCTCTGCAGCTGGGAGTCCTGAGGACCCAGGTGCCCCTTGCACCTGGAAATGCCTGTGGTATGTGGCAGGCCATGATGTACTGGTAGCTTCCCTCCTTCTTCAGGAAGGTGACTCAAGCCTGGTTTGTCCTGCTGACTCGGTGCTGGGCAGAGTCCCGGATCCATGTCCTTTCAAAGCCTGCTGTCCCAGCTAGGTGTGAGCAGGGCTCTTGCTGCCCAACAGGGGCAGTGACCCCAGGTTTTAGGGATCTCATTAGGAGGGGGAGGAGGTGACAGCAGGTCCCAGGTGCAAGTTACCAGCCACCACCGTCAGAATGGAAGAGAGGCTGTGCTCCTCCAGGTTGTTGCCTCCAATGATGACTGTAATTAGACGACGTGGCAGGAATATAAGAATAGGGGAGTGTACCCGATACTTCCCACAAATACTTTTCCAGTCCCCACCTGGTCTCACCTCAAGGGACTTCCTGAGCTGCCTGTGGTCTCCGTGTAGTCAGCAACTTTGAATACAATCTGCAGTCTTGTCTGGGTTGTCCCATCCCCAGCAGAAAGGTTTAACGTGCACAAGACCTTCAGCAAAGTCTCGCAGGGCTCAGCTCCCTGCTGCAGTGGTGGCCTGGGCAGGATGACAGGCAACCGCTGGTCCCTGGATGGCCACCCCAGTGAGACACAAAGCTCTGCTGTGCTCAGATCCTGCAGCAGGTCTTTGTTCAGGACCTAAGCCTCGATGAAGCTCCATGTTGTGGTCCAGATAGTCCTTTTGTGGTGATGCTGAGCCAGAGTGGGCATTAGGAGGTGTGGGCTGTTCAATCGCCAGAGCTGGAGTCTCAGTAGAGAGGTGAATTGGGGGCTTTATGGGGAGCTCATAAAGGGGAGAGACATGTCAGACCTCCCCATGCTGAACTACAGCTCAGATCACACCTTCTGGAGACTCACAGCTTCTGGCTTCCTCCTTAGCCATTGCTGTCAGCTGTCCTTGATTTAAGGGGTGGTTGGTAAGCCAGGTCTCTACACAGTTGCATATTTGCAGCTAATCTGATTCCCTGGCTGGTGCCCAGCTCCATCCACTCCTCTGTGTCTTTTGTCCGTGCTCTTCTTGGTCTCCTCTCACTCACTCTGAGTGCTGGAGGTGATCTTTCCTAGAGGCACCTTCCCTCAAATCTTGGTTTCTTCTCTTTATATTTAATATCCCAAGTCACATCAGCCTTCTCCATGGGACACTAATTAAATTCCTCCAAGGTAATATTTGAAAAGTTTCTGCTTCCTGAATCTCCTTGGAGTGAGGTCCAACTGCTAAGTGGCCTTTGTGCCCATGAGGTACAGAACTATCTCCAAATTCTGGTTCTTGTTTCCAAGCTGGCCCCTTTGCTCTTTCAGATCCTGGATGACTTCTGGGACTGCCCTTGCTGCGTCTTATTTACTATGAACATCCTGATTGCACAAAGTACCTCCATTCATGACTGATCACGACTACAAAAATTCCTTTAACCCACCTCTTCTCTTGCAATCCTCAGGGCTTGTTCCTCTCTTTTTTTTTTTTTTTTTTCTTTTCTTTTTTCTGCTATTGCTTTTGTTTTGAAACCAGTGGTTGAGTGTCCATCCCCCCTCCCTGCTACCCACAGCTCCTTGACTGAGCCTGGTCCCTGGCTGGCAGGAACCTCATGCTAAAGAGAGGAACGGGGTGGGACGGAGCAAATTTAGTGGAAGTTCACCAAGAAAATCAGGGGCTGGAGAACACAGCATGTGAGGAGCTGCTGATGGAATGGGGTTTGTTTAGCCTGGAGAAGTCTAAACAGGGGATCTAATTGCTCTCTAAAACTACTCAGAGGTGGGGGGTGGAGTTTAAATGGAGATGGAGCCAGACTCTTTTCAGAGATGCACAGGGAAGGGAAAAAAAAACAACGGCTGCAAATTGCAAGAAGACAAATCCAGAAAAGACGTAAGGAAAAACTATTTCACCTGGAAATGGTGCAGCCCTGGGACAGGGCCCAGAGGAGTGGGCGGATCTCCATCCTTGGAGATTTCCCAAACCTAGCTGGACCGGGCCCTGAGCAGCCTCGCTGAGGGTGGGAGTTGGCCCAGTTTTGAGCAGAGGGTTGGACTGGAGACCTCCTGAGGGCTTTTCGCACCTGAATTCTCTTCTTCTCCTCTTCTCTTCTCTTCTCTTCTCTTCTCTTCTCTTCTCTTCTCTTCTCTTCTCCTCTCTCCTCTCCACTCCTCTCCTCTCCTCTCCTCGAATATCTAAAAGTTTTTATTTATCTTTTTCAGTTTGTCCTTCTTTCCTTGCCTGATGTAATCAGGGTTATATGACCTGTACTCTCATATTGAATGATTTACCATTTATCTTAGGGCTTTCCCTAAACCAGTTGTTGTCAGTGGCAGGGGTTTTCCACCAAAGCATCTGCAGCATCTGTCCCCCTGTCCATAGCCTGATCAGCCACAGCGTGTCATGTCCTGCTAAATCAAATGCCTGAGCAATGCTGACCAGGCAGACAGCCAGGCTCTCCTGCCTTTCCCCTCACCATCATGAGGTTGGTTACGTTCCCTCTTGTGCCCTCTCCAGTCTGAACCCTGCCTGCTCCTTTGAATCCATTCCTGGCTCTTCCTGACTGTCAGCGAGACCTGGACAGGCTGGAGATT